CCCATTGTGGCCCCACCCTACCCCCGGGGGTCATGATTTGAACAAATTTGAATCTACACTACCTGAGGATGCTTCCATATAAATATGACCAAGCAAGGCTTTGCTGTTCTTAAGAAGAAGATTTTTAAAGATATTTTCCTATATATTTCTATGTAAAACTTTGATCCCCCATTGTGGCCCCACCCTACCCACGGAGGTCATGATTTGAATAAACTTGAATCTACATTACCTGAGGATGCTTCCATATAAATATGACCAAGCAAGGCTTTGCTGTTCTTAAGAAGAAGATTTTTAAAGATATTTTCCTATATATTTCTATGTAAAACTTTGATCCCCCATTGTGGCCCCACCCTACCCCCGGGGGTCATGATTTGAACAAACTTGAATCTACACTACCTGAGGATGCTTCCATATAAATATGACCAAGCAAGGCTTTGCTGTTCCTAAGAAGAAGATTTTTAAAGATATTTTCCTATATATTTCTATGTAAAACTTTGATCCCCCATTGTGGCCCCACCCTACCCACGGAGGTCATGATTTGAATAAACTTGAATCTACATTACCTGAGGATGCTTCCATATAAATATGACCAAGCAAGGCTTTGCTGTTCTTAAGAAGAAGATTTTTAAAGATATTTTCCTATATATTTCTATGTAAAACTTTGATCCCCCATTGTGGCCCCACCCTACCCCCGGGGGTCATGATTTGAACAAACTTGAATCTACACTACCTGAGGATGCTTCCATATAAATATGACCAAGCAAGGCTTTGCTGTTCTTAAGAAGAAGATTTTTAAAGATATTTTCCTATATATTTCTATGTAAAACTTTGATCCCCCATTGTGGCCCCACCCTACCCACGGAGGTCATGATTTGAATAAACTTGAATCTACATTACCTGAGGATGCTTCCATATAAATATGACCAAGCAAGGCTTTGCTGTTCCTAAGAAGAAGATTTTTAAAGATATTTTCCTATATATTTCTATGTAAAACTTTGATCCCCCATTGTGGCCCCACCCTACCCCCGGGGGTCATGATTTGAACAAACTTGAATCTACACTACCTGAGGATGCTTCCATATAAATATGACCAAGCAAGGCTTTGCTGTTCTTAAGAAGAAGATTTTTAAAGATATTTTCCTATATATTTCTATGTAAAACTTTGATCCCCCATTGTGGCCCCACCCTACCCCCGGGGGTCATGATTTGAACAAACTTGAATCTACACTACCTGAGGATGCTTCCATATAAATATGACCAAGCAAGGCTTTGCTGTTCTTAAGAAGAAGATTTTTAAAGATATTTTCCTATATATTTCTATGTAAAACTTTGATCCCCCATTGTGGCCCCACCCTACCCCCGGGGGTCATGATTTGAACAAACTTGAATCTACACTACCCGAGGATGTTTCCACATAAGTTTCATTTTTCCTGACCAAGTGGTTCTTGAGAAGAAGATTTTTAAATGATGCCATTATTTTTTCACTAATTCCTAATTATCTCCCCTTGAAAGAGGGCGTGGCCCTTCATTTGAACAAACTTGATTCTCCTTTACCCAAGAATACTTCGTGGCAAGTTTGGTTGAAATTGGCCCAGTGGTTCTTGAGAAGAAGTCGAAAATGTGAAAAGTTTACAGACAGACGGACGGACAGACGGACAGACAGACGGACGCCGGACAAAATGTGATCAGAAAAGCTCACTTGAGCTTTCAGCTCAGGTGAGCTAAAAAGTAGGTCAATGTGACCTACTTTTGAGTCAACATGATACGAGGTCCTTAGATGCATCAACTGACAAGATTTGATGATCCTAGTCCTTAAAGTAAGTAAAATATCAACATTTTAATAAAATGTAATTTTTGGTCAACTTTGAAGTGACCTTGAGACCACGCCCTTTGCCCCAGGGTAAATCCCCATGCAAATTTTAATGTAAAACATATCCTCATCCTTTTGTATAAATTTTGGTGATAATCTGCCCAGTGGTTCTTGAGAAGAAGATTTTTTAGCAACCATTACTTTTGTTTCTATTTCCCTAATTATCTCCCCTTGTTTAAGGGTCACAACCCTAGTTTTAGTACAAACGGGAGGCCTTGGGCCAAGGATACCCTGTGACAAATTTGACAATAATTGGCCAAGGGGTTCTTGAGTTATGGCCCATGTTCTAAAAAGTTTGCTCACATCGCACAAATGGCCATAGCATTAGCTCTTTGAGCCTTTGGCTCAGATGGGCTAAAAATTGAATCCCCTTCATCCAAGGATGCTTTGTAACAACTTTTTTGAAATTGGCCCAATGGTTCTTGAGAAGAAGTGAAGAATGTGGAAAGTTTACAGATGCCAGACAGACGCCGGACACTCTTCAATCAGAAAAGTTCACTTAAGCCTTTGTATCAGGTGAGCTAAAAGGTTTGCAAACTTTAAAACCATGTCACTTTTTCATTAAAACATAAATCAATATCATAATCTTCAAGGTTTATTGAATATTTGAATTAGCACAAAATATGACTAGCTAATCCTCATGAAAAAAAATATCCAGGACAAAATATTTATAGTTGCATAGTTAAATATAAAACATTTCACAACTTTTTTTGAACATGTAAAATAAATGCATTTAGAAATATTCATTTCACACTGGAACAAAATCAAGCACTATAACATTTAAATTTTAGCACAAGCATCAACAAACAATATCAAAATACCCTACAAAATTACAATTAGCTCATCGTAAACTCAATATTCCTTCACTTTTTGTTTATTTCTTCTTTTATTTCATTAAATTATCAATTTAAACCTCATTACCTCAAACTCAATTGAACTAAAAAAATTTTATGATATACAAGGGTAATAGGACTCCCTTTGACATGTCCACTGTATTCAACACACTTAAGTTCAAACGTAAATAACCTAAATACAAGGTAATGCATCCCTGATTTTCTTAATCAAACATAAAAGTTTAATAAAACTTCATGTGTAAATCACATAACAAATTGTTTTCAACACAATGTGTGACTACCAAAAGATAGTCAAATCATGTCATGCATAAATGGTTTCAATAATTCCCCCAGTGCAAAAGAAAATACTTATAATAGTAGGAATGACAAAATTGATTTCAAAAAGAAATGAAATTAATTATCAGTTACTGTAAATTCCCATATTTTTGTGGAGTCAAATTTTCGTGGTTTGAGAAAAAATGTAGTTTGATGGGATTTATCGGTGAAGTGTTGTCTTAATATGAAATTTTAACATTTTATGGTGGCCATGAATTCATGGGTCTCTTCAAACCACAAAATCAAACTCTCCACTAAAATTAGGGATTTCACAGTATGATTTTAAGTACATTGTACCTAAAAATTCACCAAAAAACTTGGGGAAAACTACTTCGTTAACAGATGCGTGCTTACCATGGAATCATGGAGGACGGTTTTTTTGCTTTGCTGTGTTTATAAGTAGTAACTACTAGTAATTCTTGAGCTAAGATGTCATTATACAATAAAATTACATAACAATCTTTAATTCATGTATGAGGTACCAATTGAAAATGAATTCCCAAGATATATAATTAATCCAGAGTTAAGTAATTCAATATCAGGATAAAAAAGGACGGTTCTCTGAAATCTGGGAGACCCCTTTACAACACAAATCACAGTGTATGGATCCAGAAATCTTATCATACAACAATGTAAACACAGTCTGTAGATTCAGAAATCTTATAACAATGTAAACACAGTCTGTGGATACAGAAATCTTCTTATCATACAACAATGTAAACACATACAATATGTAAATTTAGTGCCATGCACTGAAAAAAAAAATAATTGGTATTTAAAGACCATATATAAATATATATATGAATTTACAACACTGATTAAGGGCTTTTATGAACTTGAAATCTTTTTGTTTTTACCATGAAACCACTTTTTTATTACCATGTAGTCATTTTTTTTTGTATTTGGCAACAAAGTTTTAAAAATGTTTCTTCATTAAATAGGAATCTAGTATATGGTACCCTTTAGATATTTGAAGTCAAATAAATGCACATAATCATGGTAAAAATAAATAATGCATGAGACACCATACACAGATGAGATTCAATTATTTATATTGTAAGTGAAAATTCATACAAGATCGCTTACATATGACCAAGACAGTGGAGACTCTGGCAAGTAGTGAATCATGGCTTGGAATAGAATCAGAGATTTTGGAGGAGTAGAATAAAAGCTAAGCATTGCAACATTTTACAGATTTCTTTTTCTTTTCTTCATATAGGTCATTCTTCTCCATTCCTGGGAACAAAGAAAAAATGTTACAGGAATATGTATGGTTAAGTGTCTCTGGCAAAAAGCTTTCTACCTCTCTGTTCATATAAACGATCCTGTGCTATATAAGATGTAAGCATTAACTTGTTAATAATCGATCAAAAAATAGTGTTCTGATCTGTGTAAAATACTGATCACTTACTTATCAAGTCATTTCCAATCTGTTTGGTTTGTGTAGGTGAAGACTCTAATTCTCTGAGCACAGCTGCCTCAAAAGTCAGACAAACGACGCGGGAAAAATAGTCATTAACATTCTCACCTGTAAAATATAAAATATTTGATAAGACTGTCCTACAAAAATTCAAAATGGTGTTGATGTGTACCTTGTAAGCTAACCTGAACCAAAGGCTCAAGTGAGCTTTTCTGATCAAAAAGTGTCCTGTGTCTGTCTGTCTGTCTGTCTGTCATGTGTTGTTTGCAAACTTTTCACATCAAGAACCACTAGGCCAATATCAAAGAAATTGTGAAAAAAAACTATATACGGTAAAAGCATATTTTTGCCCCCCAAAACGGCAAATTTTTGAAAATCTCTAGAAATGTACACAATTGTTTATATTGTATGAAGATTCTTAATAATTGACAAAAATTATTATAGTTTGGAAATAGATTATAGTCAATGCATATTCCTGTGATGTCACAAACTATGTGAATTTTCATTTACCAGGAATTTTCGAGATAAAGGACAAAATGGACAAAATTTGTTTAATTTTGAGTATAGAATTTATTGAGCACAAGCTTGCTCTAGAAAAATATTCACATATTTGATTGATATTATAATTTTACACATTATATCAAAAGATAGAGCTGGAGCAGACCTGCACTTGATGACTTTTAATCTAATATTGACATAAAATACACTTTTCTTCTCTCAAAATCATTGAAAACTTGAATTTATGTCATCTTCTTCTCACAATAACTCACCTGATTTACATGTATTCAGCTCACATTAACCCACTTGATTTACAGGTATTCAGCTCACAATAACCCACCTGATTTACAGGTATTCAGCTCACAATAACCCACCTGATTTACAGGTATTCAGCTCACAATAAATCACCTGATTTAGAGGTAACTGCCCAGTATTCAGCTCAAAATAACCCACTTAATTTAGAGGACAATGCCCAGTATTCAGCCCAAAAATAACTCACCAGATTAAGAGATATTTAGCTCACAATAACCCACCTGATTTAGAGGATACAGCCCAGTATTCAGCTCACAATAACCCACCTGATTTAGAGGACACAGCCCAGTATTCAGCTCACAATAACCCACCTGATTTAGAGGACACTGCCCTGTATTCAGCTCACAATAACCCACCTGATTTAGAGGACACTGCCCAGTATTCAGCTCAAAACAACCCACCTGATTTAGAGGACACTGCCCAGTATTCAGCTCCTAGAGTCCTAGCAATATCAGCAGCTCTTCTTTCTACATTCTCATAGGCAGCTGGAGACTAAAGAAGTAATCACTGATTGATCTTAATGCAGCAAGAAATCAAATTATTTACACCACACATGTATCAAACAAGTAATGATTTACATATATACTAGTACCACTTCATATTAGAATTTTATTAAATATTAAGAACTTGTATGATATGTTGTATTTATCTCTTGGCTTGAGAGTATAATGTACATATCAGCCAAGCACTACACTGACTTTCATATTTTCTGTGTCAGCAGTATTTGGTAAAAGAAAGCTTAATTGTGAGTTAAAATCTGAAATAATCACATGAAGGAAACATACCAACTTGTCTTTCTTTGTTCCCACGAGAAACTTAACAGGTTCATCTGCATTCTCACAAGCATCAGCCATCCATCGGGAGGCGTTAGACAGCGACCGCTCATCACTCAGATCAAACACTACCATAACAACTGTAAAACAATAATTAACTGTGAAACTGACAAACAAACAAACAAGAGAATGTAAAACAAACATAACAACTGTAAAACAATAATAAACTGTGAAACTAACAAACAAACAGACAAGAGAATGTAAAACAAACATAACAACTGTAAAACAATAATTAACTGTGAAACTAACAAACAAACAGACAAGAGAATGTAAAACAAACATGACAACTGTAAACCAAATGTGACAACTGTCAAACTGACATTGTAATAGACATACGCATTACATACTACACATTTGAATCTCTCATGACTTACCATTATTTCCCCTATAGAAATAGGTAGCCTGGTTCCCTGTCCCTGTTATGCTTCATATACTCCGCGACACTAGGGCCAGATGGACTACAATGGATTCAGGGCAAATCTGCCCTGAATCTGAGCACATTGTGACGTTGTATTTAGCTGCGCTAACGGTGTAAAAGTTCATTGTGACGTCGTATTTTTCTACACAATCGATGCAATGTATCATTGCGATGTCAATATTTATTTCCGTGGTTAACGGCAATGACTCAAAATCCAGAATTTAACGTGAATTGTTCTGACCATTCAAAGGACGGCATCAATTGTAATCCACCTGGCTCTCCTGCCTTGGCAAGGATGAGCCAGGGAACCAGGCTATAGAAATAGGCAGCTATACATTTGAATCTCTCTTGACTTACCATTACCTGGTAGTTCCTCTATAGTAGGAGGCAGCTATACATTGGAATCTCTCATGACTTACCAATTAGTTCCTCTGTAGTAGGATGCAGCTATACATTTGAATCTCTCTTGACTTACCATTAGTTCCTCTGTAGTAGAAGGCAGCTATACATTTGAATCTCTCTTGACTTACCATTAGTTCCTCTGTAGTAGGAGGCAGCTATACATTTGGATCTCTCTTGACTTACCATTAGTTCCTCTGTAGTAGGAGGCAGCTATACATTTGGATCTCTCATGACTTACCATTAGTTCCTCTGTAGTAGGATGCAGCTATACATTTGAATCTCTCTTGACTTACCATTAGTTCCTCTGTAGTAGGAGGCAGCTATACATTGGAATCTCTCATGACTTACCATTAGTTCCTCTGTAGTAGGATGCAGCTATACATTTGAATCTCTCTTGACTTACCATTAGTTCCTCTGTAGTAGGAGGCAGCTATACATTGGAATCTCTCATGACTTACCATTAGTTCCTCTGTAGTAGGAGCCAGCTATACATTTGAATCTCTCATGACTTACCAATTAGTTCCTCTGTAGTAGGATGCAGCTATACATTTGAATCTCTCTTGACTTACCAATTAGTTCCTCTGTAGTAGGAGCCAGCTATACATTTGAATCTCTCATGACTTACCAATTAGTTCCTCTGTAGTAGGAGGCAGCTATACATTTGAATCTCTCTTGACTTACCATTAGTTCCTCTGTAGTAGGAGGCAGCTATACATTGGAATCTCTCATGACTTACCATTACATGTAATTCATCTGTAGTAGGAGGCAGCTATACATTTGAGTCTCTCGTGACTTACAGTCCCTGAAACGTTCTACTTTCCCATTTTTCCGTTCGCTCACCATTCGTTCAGCGTGCGTTCACCGTTCGTTCACCGTGCGTTCACCGTTCGCTCTCCGTTCACAGTTTTGCGTTCTGCGTTCACCATGCGCTCGCGTTCACCGTTCACATAGCGTTCAGCGTTCGCTCTCCGTTCGTTCACTTAGCGTTCACCTTGCGTTCAGCGTTCACTTATCGTTCAGTCTTCAGGGTCATTCGGAACTCCGAAGTGAAAGGACTTATCTTTTTGTAAGTAAGGATTTACGGGTTTTTTAATTTATTAATTAACATATCGTGTTTAAAGAATCGTCATCTCATTGGAAAATATATCCACAATATTCTAACATTATCTCTTTTATTATTCTAACTTGGCTGTAAGGTTATTTATTAATCTACTCTGGGAAATAAATGTTTTTATAAGTATGTACCTACATGTATGTAGAACGATGCTGAAAAATTTAATTGAAATACGGGCGATATATAGATACTTAAAAGTACTGCAACATTTTGTTGTTATGTTATAGACGACAAATCGTTAATAGAGAGATAATCGTAGTTAATTAAGTAACAAACTGCAGCAAAATTACAAAAAAATATTTATTTCTAACACTGCAGCAAAATTACGAAAATATTTATTTTTATTTAAACACATATTTTTTTTTCAATTACTACAGAAAAAAAAATGATAGAACTAGTTCTGAGAATTATACATAGTACAGCGGATATCTTGTTAATTAAATATCTTTGGAGCGAATTAAATTAATAGTGTGGTAATAAAAATCTTTATTTTAAATGTAATACACTACAGATTTTCTCTACTATTATAATATAAAGTCTCTAGTTATAGAGAAAATAAATTCTTCCTTCACTGTAACTTTATATGTTTGCCATTCGATATGATTAAGAGCCCCCGCCCCCCACCCCTTTTTCTCCTAAATCGGTTACTTAGTCAGTATTTCCAGTATATTTTATAAACATTTAAAAAGGAGTTAATGTGTTTTGTACCACAAAAATTTCAGTTTCAAAAAAAAATGCATCTAAAAAATTCATTAAACAATAGTAGTCCAAAATATACACGTGTCGGCGGTGGTATTTTTAATTGGCAGCGAGTATGTTTCAAATTGAAGCGATAATGCTCAATGTATTTTAATTATTTATTTATTTTGAAATGTTGGAAATAAATCTAGAAATGATTTTTTAAAAAATAATAACTTGTTGCAGATACTAGCACTTCGTCTTCGTTTGACGAGACTTTCACACCTGCACAGTATCGAATGATTTTGATTGACAGGACAAGCACGTGGACTTCGTGTGAACTTGAAGCAGGAAAAAAAGAACGAGTATGACTGTCAAACAAATGGATTTGTTGATAAAAAAAAAGTTTCTTTCATTGCCTGATATATTTAGGAAAAAATGAAGAATTTTTGTTTGATATCGGTACAAACATTTGGTGAAGCCTGAAAGGGGGGGGGGGGTAAAACGGAATCTCTCTCTCTCACTCTCTCTCTTTTGTCTGCTTGATAAAAACTATGACAGCAAATTGCTTAAATATCAAGTTCTGAAATTTTAATCTATAACAAATAACATGAATATGTATGCCTCTTTGTATAATCTTGTCCGAGTATAATCACGGGGAAATGTCTACAGGTACATGTACATGTAGAAGTTTTGCTTAATAAATCATCATAAAAAATAGAAATCACTCATAAAAATATTATTGCATTAAAAATCTAAAATGCGAGTGTATTTTTGCAGTACGTCCACAGACCTTTGTTATTTTTTTTTTCATTACTTTACACGGAATCGCCTTCCGGAAATATATATGAATGGATATAACAACCGTTATAATTCATTCTATAAGTCAGAAGTTTTCTCTTTTTTGTACTGTTTTTTTTTATATCAAATAAGAATAAACATATTTATTTTCAAGCTAAAATAATTTTATCTTTTATACTGCAGCGTTCGGTAACAATTACAATGTTTTACAGCGATAAAAATCGTGTGATTAAAAAGTTGAATTTAAACATCATACAAGTAAAAAAAAACTTAGTTTTACTTAATGTGCATGTTTCGTCTATAATTTCTTAGGACAATTTTGTAGCATTTATATATTTTATTTATTTATTCATCAATTTGTTTATTTATTTATTTTTTTGTCACCTGGCATTAGAATACAATAGAATAGTTTCAATGCAAGGAAAAAATCAGAGGCATTCCGAATAAATCGTTCATCTAGCCTGGTCCCCTGGCTCATCCTTGCCTAGTGACGCAGAGTACAGGAAGCAAAACAGGGACAGGGAACCAGGCTATCGTTCATCTTGCGTTCAATTCACCGTTCGTTCACCGTTCACTTTGCGTTCGCGTTTGCGCTCCGTTCGCGTTCTGCGTTCGCTCACCGTTCAGCGTTCACACATCGTTCACCAAGTTGCGTTCAGCGTTCACACATCGTTCACTCACCGTTCGCTCTGCGTTCGTTCACCTTTCGTTAAGCGTTCGCTCATCATTCAAGTGGGAAAGTAGAACGTTTCGGGGACTGTACCATTAGTTCCTCTGTAGTAGGATGCAGCTACACATTTGGATCTCTCTTGACTTACCATTAGTTCCTCTATAATAGGCAGCTATATGTATACGAGGGCTGTTCGGAAATTATTGAGACAATGTGTATATTCTTCTTTCTAATGAACGTTTTTCGGTGAAAATTTGCATATACGTTTGACAAACACTAAGAATTAATAAAAGCAAGAAACATTTTAAAAATATTTTATTTCTTCTTTTCATTGGTATATAAATGTGTCAATGGTAGGGGTACCCGGCGCAGTCACGAAATCAGATATTGAAAATATGTAACACCAACGTTAAAACTTCCAGTGGACCCATAGTAAGAGAGAAAATAATTCAAATTATGTATATAATTTTTCATTTTTATTTTGACTTCATTTCGTGCAAGTTTGCTTGAATTTCGATCAGAAATACGGTGATCATACAAAAAATTTAGGCGCGATATAGCAATCTCATAACGACGACAAAACGGATTTTGACGTCAAGGCGGAGCAGCGAGCATACCTAAAATTTTGTGTAGCGGTATTGAAACTCTTGTCCACACTAAACGACCTGCTAAAACAATAACAACGCAATAAAACATGTCTATGGTTTTATTTTTTTCATTGGTTTATTTTTTCTTACAAATAATTCAACCAGAGTAAAAACAAAGGCTCCGGCCGACCATCAATTATTTCGGACTAAATAACATTGACCCGCGCTGCATAACTCGGTACTGCATGATACTAAGTCAACCTGTATATGACACTTCGTGTATATTTTACACTCGGGTAGCAACAGCACACGTTTTATTTTATTTTTTTAAGGAATCGTTGAAGAATTATAAGAGACAGTTTGAATTTTTGAATGTTATATGCAATGACAGAGAAAGTAGATTGAACGCTTCCCGATCATTTCACAATGAGAAAATATCGGCTGACCTGACGTTAAAATAACGTAGCGATGCTGCTCCAGGTCAATAGACATATACTTATTTATAATTTCACCGGAACTTATTTAATTATCCTATAAATAAGAAATTTTGCACAATTCTTTTATTTGTTCTTTATAAAATGTTGACGAATTTTCATGAATTTATCTCTGTCACTTGTGGAGTAAAAGAAATTGTCTCAATAATTTTCGAACAGCCCTCGTACATTTGGATCTCTCATGACTTACCATTAGTTCCTCTATAATAGGAGGCATCTATACATTGGAATCTCTCTAGACTTACCATTAGTTCCTCTATAGTAGGAGGCAGCTACATGTATACATTTGAATCTCTCATGACTTACCTTTAAGTTCTCTGTAGACTGTAGTAGAAGACAGGTATACATTTGAGTTTCTCGTGACTTACCATTAGTTTCTCTGTAGTAGAAGACAGCTATACATTGGAATCTCTCTTGACTTACCATTAGTTCCTCTGTAGTAGGAGGCAGCTATACATCTGAATCTCTCTTGCCCAGCTGTGTCCCATCTGTCAACAAAAAATTCTTAAATGATCAATTGAGAAAGATTCATTAGGATTTTATTTAGGAAGGAGAGATTTTAAACTTACTTAAGCATACACATTTCACTATATATGTATGCCACCTCAGCCTTAAACAAAAGGAAAGTTGATATAATGACAGGACATGATAAAAAAAAATTGTTAATTCTGAACTTACATTTGGAGGGTAAAGGGAACAGACAAGATGGAGAATTTTTCCACTTCAAAGTCAACTCCTATTGTAGCCTTGTAGTCACGGTCAAAAACATCATGACAAAATCTAAAAACACATACATACATATGTACATATCATTAATCACTCTAGTTGTAGTCAGGGTAATATCCAGTGTATGAAATTCCAGGCAGCCAAGAAGCCAAATGGATAATATGTAAGTTTTCAACAATGTAAAAGAAATTATAAACCATTTATTAAAATGTACTAACCAGATAAGTAAATGCCTTAACAGAGACAAAAAGGTAAGTGGTATATGTCATTATTATTTTGATACAATTTGAGTAAAATGATGATGAACCTTTATGAAACTTAAAAAAATGTAAGTTCATAATTAGATGTTTACCTGTTGACTAAGCTTGTTTTTCCAACAGAAACATCCCCAACCAACACAGCTTTACAAATCTTCAACCTGAAAAAAAAAAATACCAAGTGACCAAAAACTGCTTAAACTTTGAAATGTAAAATTATTGCAAGAAAGAACAAAATCTTTTATTTGAATGACATGATGACACCCATTCTCTGTCAGACTTTTTAACCTTTCAATGAGTTTTTCTGTTTTCATCATGTGACAGATTTATCTGATAAATGACATTTTAACCAATTTTCAGCTCATGAGACGTACCCCACTCTCCCTGTTTTGTTTTCATCACTTACCCCACTCTCCCTATTCTGTTTTCACCACTTACCCCACTCTCCCTGTTCTGTTTTCATCACTTACCCCACTCTCCCTGTTCTGTTTTCATCACTTACCCCACTCTCTCTGTTCTGTTTTCATCACTTACCCCACTCTCCCTATTCTGTTTTCACCACTTACCCCACTCTCCCTGTTCTGTTTTCATCACTTACCCCACTCTCCCTGTTCTGTTTTCATCACTTACCACACTCTCTCTGTTCTGTTTTCACCACTTACCCCACTCTCTCTGTTCTGTTTTCATCACTTACCCCACTCTCTCTGTTCTGTTTTCACCACTTACCCCACTCTTCCTGTTCTGTTTTCACCACTTACCCCACTCTCCCTGTTCTGTTTTCATCACTTACCACACTCTCTCTGTTTTGTTTTCATCACTTACCCCACTCTCCCTGTCTTGTTTTCACCACTTACCCCACTCTTCCAGTTTTGTTTTCATCACTTACCCCACTCTTCCTGTTCTGTTTTCACCACTTACCCCATTCTCCCTGTTCTGTTTTCACCACTTACCCCACTGTCTCTGTTCTGTTTTCATCACTTACCACACTCTCTCTGTTTTGTTTTCACCACTTACCCCACTCTCTCTGTTCTGTTTTCACCACTTACCCCACTCTCTCTGTTCTGTTTTCATCACTTACCCCACTCTTCCTGTTCTGTTTTCACTACTTACCCCACTCTCTCTGTTTTGTTTTCACCACTTACCCCACTCTCCCTGTTCTGTTTTCACCACTTACCCCACTCTTCCTGTTCTGTTTTCACCACTTACCCCACTCTTTCTGTTCTGTTTTCACCACTTACCCCACTCTCCCTGTTTTGTTTTCATCACTTACCCCACTCTCCCTGTTCTGTTTTCACCACTTACCCAACTCTCTGTTTTGTTTTCACCACTTACCCCACTCTCCCTGTTTTGTTTTCATCACTTACCCCACTCTCTCTGTTTTGTTTTCACCACTTACCCCACTCTCCCTGTTTTGTTTTCATAACTTACCCCACTCTCTGTTTTGTTTTCACCACTTACCCCACTCTCCCTGTTCTGTTTTCATCACTTACCCCACTCTCTCTGTTCTGTTTTCACCACTTACCCCACTCTCTCTGTTTTGTTTTCATCACTTACCCCACTCTCTCTGTTTTGTTTTCACCACTTACCCCACTCTCCCTGTTCTGTTTTCACCACTTACCCCACTCTCTCTGTTTTGTTTTCACCACTTACCCCACTCTCTCTGTTCTGTTTTCACCACTTACCCCACTCTCCCTGTTTTGTTTTCACCACTTACCCCACTCTGTTTTGTATTCACCACCCACCCCACTCTCCCTGTTCTGTTTTCACCACTTACCCCACTCTCTCTGTTTTGTTTTCATCACTTACCCCACTCTCTCTGTTTTGTTTTCACCATTTACCCCACTCTCCCTGTTCTGTTTTCACCACTTACCCCACTCTCTCTGTTTTGTGTTCACCACTTACCCCACTCTCTCTGTTCTGTGTTCACCACTTACCCACTCTCCCTGTTTTGTTTTCACCACTTACCCCACTCTGTTTTGTGTTCACCACTTACCCCACTCTCCCTGTTCTGTTTTCACCACTTACCCCACTCTCTTTGTTTTGTTTTCACCACTTACCCCACTCTCCCTGTTTTGTTTTCACCACATGCCTGTCTCACTTTGGGATGAAAGTTCATTTTCTGGTATGGAGTGGCATCTGGATGGAATGCCTGATTAAGAATATCAATTCTAAAGATTCATGTTATCTAGTGAAAAATATGAATATGGTAAAAAGAAAAAAAATTCAAGCACTTAAAGATGACTATGATGCTTTTACATCAGTAACAGTTTGGCCACGAAATATATGAGGCCTGTTCAGAAATTATTAAGGCTTTTTTTTTTTACTCCTCAAGAGAAAGCGATAAATTCATGAAAATTTGTCAACAGATCTCTAGTTAATAGGATGATCAGATAAGTCCAGGTGAAATTATAAACTTGCATACGTCCATTGGCCTGGAGCAGCATCGCTTTGCCACTTTAATGTCACGTCAATCATAGATTTTTTTTCTTTTGTTGAAACAATCAGGAAGCATTAACTCTTCTTTTTCTGTCATCATTTATAGAACAACAAACTCTCCCATTTTTTTAACAAGAGGCCCATGGGCCACATCGCTCACCTGAGCACACTGGTTAAGAAAAAAGCAAAAATCAGTTCATTATTGAAAAGTTTACATGGGGGGACTTGAATTTTAAACTACCTGATGATGTTTCCATATCAATATAACAAATGGCTTTGCTGTTCTTGAGCAGAAGCTTTTTTCCTATATATTCATTTGTAAAAATTTGATCCCCCATTGCCCCCCCCCCCCCCCCCCCCCCCGGTCCTCATTTGACCAAATTTGATTCTACACTACCTGAGGATGCCTCTCCATATCAATTTGAATAATCATGATTTTTCTGTTCTTGAGAAAAAGATTTTTTCCAATATATTCCTATGTAAAACTTTGATCCCCCATTGTGGCCCCACCCTACCCCTGGGGGTAATGATTTGAACAAATTTGAATCTACACTACTTGAGGATGCTTCCATATAAATATGACTAATCAAAGTTTTGCTGTTCTTCAGAAGAAGATTTTTAAAGTTTTTTCCCCATATACTCCTTTGAATAACTTTGATCACCAATTGTTACCCCACCCCCGGGGGTTATAACTTGAAAAAATTGAATCTATACTACCTGAGGATGCTTCCATTAAAATGTGATCGATCATGACTTTGCTGTTCTTGACAAAAACATTTTTAAAGAATTTTCCTATGTATTTCTATGCTAAACTTTGATCACCCGTTCTGGCCCCATCCAACCCCCAGGGGTCATTATTGGAACAAACTTGAATTTACACTACCTGAGGGTGCCTCCATATAAATATGATCAATCATGGCTTTGCTGTTCTTAAGAAGAAGATTTTTAAAGATATTTTCCTATAGATTTCTATGTAAAACTTTGATCCCCCATTGTGGCCCCACCCTACCCCCGGTGGACATGATTTACAGACAGACAGACGGACAAAAAGTGATCAGAAAAGCACACTTGAGTCTTCAGCTCAGGTGAGCTAAAAATGATTCTTTAAACAAACACAATTGTCTTTTTGCTACCCCAATGTAAAATTACATGAAGCATCATGTTCAGTTTGACTAGCATCATGCTCTATCGACTTTTGTACCGCAGATCAATGTTATTTAGTCTACAATAATTGAAGGTCATTGAAGGTCATCTGGCACCTTTATTTTCACTCTGGTTGATTAATTTGTACGAAAAAAAAATTATACTAATGAAAAAAAAACAACCTCTAGATGTGTTTTTACATTGCTGTTATAATCATGAAGATTTCTGTACCATGATGAAAATTATTTATAATTTCTGTATTTCTTGTCTAAATTCTATCAAACTTGCATAAATGAAGTCAAAATAAAATAGAAATATTACATATAAATTTAAATAATTTTCAAACTTACGACTCGTGCACCAGAATTTTGTACATAGTAGTTACTGATTTTCATTACCTACCATGGATACATTGATATACCATGGAAAAGAGAAAATATTTCTGAAATATTTCTTTCCTTAATCGTGTTGATTTATTTTTTGAGTTTATTAAAAATATCTGCCAATTTTCACCAAAAAGACGTTCATTAGAAAGGAGAATAATCACAATGTCTCAATAATAGCCCTCACACAACCGTCAACAAACAAATAAACATATTATAACATGCCTTATTTATATATATTTCAATTACTAAGGTAGATCTTTAAAATATTTCTCATAAGAAATATTAATGGTAAATTTAGAGATATTACACAGATGTGGATAAAAAATACCTGTGGAAATTTGGTGATCATTCAGTCTTTAGTGACATTGTTTGTAAGGATTGGATAAAAAAACCTGTGGAAATTTGGTGATCATTCGGTCTTTAGCGACATTGTTTGTAAGGATTGGATAAAAAATACCTGTGGAAATTTGGTGATCATTCGGTCCTTAGCAACAATGTTTGTAAGGATTGGATAATAAATACCTGTGGAAATTTGGTGATCATTCGGTCTTTAGCGACATTGTTTGTATGGATTGGATAATAAATACCTGTGGAAATTTGGTGATCATTCGGTCTTTAGCGACATTGTTTGCAAGGATTGGATAATAAATACCTGTGGAAATTTGGTGATCATTCGGTCTTTAGCGACATTGTTTGTAAGGATTGGGTAATAAATACCTGTGGAAATTTGGTGATCATTCAGTCTTTAGTGACATTGTTTGCAAGGATTGGATAATAAATACCTGTGGAAATTTGGTGATCATTCGGTCTTTAGTGACATTGTTTGTAAGGACTGGATATACCTGTGGAAATTTGGTGATCATTCGGTCTTTAGCGACATTGTTTGTAAGGATTGGATAATAAATACCTGTGGAAATTTGGTGATCATTCGGTCTTTAGCGACATTGTTTGTAAGGATTGGATAAAAAATACCTGTGGAAATTTGGTGATCATTCGGTCTTTAGCGACATTGTTTGTAAGGATTGGATAATAAATACCTGTGGAAATTTGGTGATCATTCGGTCTTTAGCGACATTGTTTGTAAGGATTGGATAAAAAATACCTGTGGAAATTTGGTGATCATTCGGTCTTTAGCGACATTGTTTGTAAGGATTGGATAATAAATACCTGTGGAAATTTGGTGATCATTCGGTCTTTAGCGACATTGTTTGTAAGGATTGGATAATAAATACCTGTGGAAATTTGGTGATCATTCGGTCTTTAGCGACATTGTTTGTAAGGATTGGATAATAAATACCTGTGGAAATTTGGTGATCATTCGGTCTTTAGCGACATTGTTTGTAAGGATTGGATAATAAATACCTGTGGAAATTTGGTGATCATTCGGTCTTTAGTGACATTGTTTGTAAGGACTGGATATACCTGTGGAAATTTGGTGATCATTCGGTCTTTAGCGACATTGTTTGTAAGGACTGGATATACCTGTGGAAATTTGGTGATCATTCGGTCTTTAGCGACATTGTTTGTAAGGATTGGATAATAAATACCTGTGGAAATTTGGTGATCATTCGATCTTTAGCGACATTGTTTGTAAGGATTGGATAATAAATACCTGTGGAAATTTGGTGATCATTCGGTCTTTAGTGACATTGTTTGTAAGGACTGGATATACCTGTGGAAATTTGGTGATCATTCGGTCTTTAGTGACATTGTTTGTAAGGACTGGATATACCTGTGGAAATTTGGTGATCATTCGATCTTTAGCGACATTGTTTGTAAGGATTGTTCTTCCCGCTGACATCCTTAGTTCTGTAGTTGTTTTCCTTGGAATCTTCTATAATCTGTATCCTGTCAATCATATAAAAGTTAGACTTATCAGAAGGATTGAATACTTTCTTTGAGTAGTTTAATTGGTGTACATTTCAATTTGAACATGTTTAAATAAAATTTGACAGAAAACATAACCTTTCTTTTAATTCTAATCAGATTTAATCTTTTGTTGTTTAGAGCAATAAAAAAAATCAAAAAATAAAATTTAAAAAAAAATATTAGAAAACAATGAATGCATTCAATATAGTATAATTGTATGATATTGTAATATATGATATAATTGTATGATATAATTGTAGAAATATATCTCATTAACAACGAACACATAAAAAATAGGATCAGCACAAAAAATAATGATTTAATTTTTATAGTGAGGGGAGTGAACTCTTATAACAACACCTTGGCGAAGAGAAGATTCAGACTACATATATATACTGCAAATTGATCCAAAAGAATTTTATCTGCAGTACACCTTGGTACCCACAATCAGGGCTCCTTAATAATACCAATATTCTGGTGTATTATTCTGGTGTATTGTTGACAAAAAATATATTACGATATGTTTTTTCAGTACTGATATACATGTACAAGAATAATGCTTGGACTTTGTTGGGATTTCTATAATGAAATATTAAGTCCAAGATGTCAGAAACATTTGCGATTGTGCCAAACAGTAAGGTGACAGCTGTTGTATGGGTGCATTTTAGTGCATATAACAGTAATTAAATCAACAAGAACTTTTTCTTTTGGTTATTTATCATAGTTATGTACATTCTGCATATAAATGTAAGCTTGAATAAAATAAGAAAAGATCATTTTTATTTAATAATTATTGCAAAACATGCATGGATTTAGAGGGGGAGGGGGGATTCGGTACAGCCTCCACCCCCCCCGAAATTGCAGAGTTATTAAGTAAATGAGACCTTGGACCTCTCCCAGAAAATGCAGATCCCTGTTAAGTTGGTAGGAAAAGTCATACATATGAAGCTCATGACCACTGCAGCATTTGGTTGGCATAAGAGAATTTTATCAAACTACTGTTAAAGTGGAAACTGACAATGTGGAAACATTGACAAAATGGATGAATTTCTAATAATCGTCAAAGTTTCCACTTGTCAACTTTTATATTCCTGTTAAAGGTGCTTGGACTCAGATTTGAAGTTAATATTTTCTCAAATTTTCTGTATAATTTCATGACTTATATGTGGCTATAGCATTTCATACTAAAATATAATAAAAATTTTATTTCATCTCGAAGTTATTAAAACTTCGAATTTCTGGACGCTTTGGATTGACACATCCTTGAGCTTTCACATATTTTAATTTTATTCTTAATACTTAAGAAAAGTGGCAATTTTGTTGTGTATTAATGAAAAATATTAAAACTATAACCCAGAAATTTCAGACTAGAAATGTTCGAAAGCTAAACCCACTCACAGTATTGTAAGTCCGTGATCAGTGGTGTGTGCAGAGTTTAACAATTGAACACACCTGGTGAATTGTAAACATTAACAGTAACAGAGCTTGTGCCCTGTTTACAAAAACAGTTTACGTTTCAAAGTTAAAATTTGTGTAAGTGCAAAGAAAGATGTTTTAATCAAACGCGTCCCGGAATTGGTAGTTCCAATAATTTCCAGATAAAATAAGTTTTTAATTATATTTTTGTGTGAAATGCTATTGCAATATACAGGTAACTCTCGATACCTCGAAGTCCTCGAGGAAAAACTTCGAGAGATCAAGAGTTTGAGTTTTCAAGAGTCCGGAATTTTCCGGGTTTGTTGACAGGTTTTAAAATAAGTCTTACCGGATGTAATGATTTTAATGCAGTGCTTACCTTTTACACATGGTTTTTATAAAACAATGATTTTTTTTTGTAATTTAGATGAATATTTCATTAATCTGAGTAAAGCAAAAAATGTTTATTGTCATATCATGTATATTTATTTATTCTTTGTAATACGGACATCATACTACGCATTCGAAATATGAAAATGACATTTTACAGCTTCATACATGTACATAGCACTGACTATTCAAAACATGATCATTGAACGCAGTTCTGTAAGTATTTGTCCAATAATAGTTGTCAAATTGACATTGAGACTGTTTCTGCTTTTTCATATTTCGTTTAGCTTTGACACTGACTCGAAATAAAAATTTGAATTGGTGTTTCGTCTTTTAATCAATTACTACTTTTCACTGACACTGCGTCTCTAAATTATTGTAAGACAGTCGATGATAATTATTTTAATAGCATATAGGCAAAATATGATTAATTATAAATCAATTATCACCTTGCAGTATAAGTGTCACCTGAATAAACATCCCGTTCCTCAAGACCCGCGTCTTCTGCCTGAGGCCTTTTAAATGTCCAGGTAAACGTGCTAATTATATAACCTTGTATACACATAGCCACTTCGAGGTATCGACGAGGGTAAATTCTAATAGAATATGCATAGCAGGATTGCATTTTGACTTCAAGGGATCAAGGGTTTCGAGAGATCAAAAGTTCGAGAAATCAAGAGTAAATGCTTAGTTATATAGGGGAAAAATTTGGGACTGGAGACTCACTTCAAGCGATCAAGAACTTTGAGAGATTAAAGTTTGAGCCATCAAGAGTTACCTGTATAAGTCGTGATATTATACAGAAAATTTGAGAAAACATCAAGTTCAAATCACTGTCTAAGCACCTTTAAAGAGCACTGTTAGATACTAGTAGATTGTCAAAGCTTTCACTTGCCATTTTTATAATATACCACATCATCAAACTTTCAACCCTTTCAATATAACCATTTTTACAATGATTACAATGCTACACTTTTACAACCCATATTTTACAACTGACCTCACGAAGATTCCTGCAGTGCCTGGCTGCCAGCTGCTGTGACAATTTATCACACTGGAATTGTTACCTAAGTTTCTCATATATGGCAAGAATTAAGTGCTGACTTTAACCAGTGTTCAATTGTAACCAGTAACACGGAAGAGATTTGAAAATTAATCAGGAATGATGGGGTTGAAATATAAGATTTTACCTCCAGGCGGGAGAATCACATGTACATGTATGCCTTTCTTTAATAGAAATAGCAAATAGATAGTAGATTAAACGCTCCTTCTTCGATATTTGCCCCTTTTACACTTCAATATGGAAATGCAACTTAAGCAGGTCCAGCACAATACCCCGATAAAGGTATATAGCTTGATAAAGCTATATACCTTTATCAAGGTATTACAAATACCTTGATCAACGTATTTTATGTAATGAAAATAAAAAAAAATCCTAAAAAAATTAAATTTAAAAGTCGAATTATGAGTTGTGGTCAGTGTGTTCACTCGTGCATGAAAAGTACTCAGGTATCAAAAAGACAGCATATAAGAACGTCCCCTAACACGACATGCTTTTATACTGATTTCTTGGTGTTTGAGTACTTTACATGCACGAGTGAATTTACTGAGAACAACTCAGAACTCGACTTTCAGTATTTATTTTATTTAAGGATTTTTTTGTATTTTCATTTCATAAAATACCTTGATCAAGGTATTTGTAATACCTTGATAAAGCTATATAGCTTTATCAAGCTATATACCTTTATCAGGGTATTGTGCTGGACCTGTTAAGTCTGACATGATGTGACATCACAGTCTGTCTCGTGTGGTTTAGAGGCATATATAAATTTCAGCTAAAAAGGTACATTGTAGATCTATCCAGTAATTTATACACATATGCACTCGCTCCAACTGTCACACCATCAACATAGTTTTCTTTAATTAAACATTTAGGATAAACTCTATCTTAGAAAATTTCACAAACCTTACCTATAAATCTATCTATCATGTTCCGACGGATACCGGTATGACTAATCCATGCAGTGCAGTTGGCAAGCTCTTGACTCTGTATTTCTCTCATTGTATCCCAACAATCATTTTCCAAGACTCACGTTTTCGCTCAGCTATTTAACCGGAAGTGCAGCTAGGAACGCCTTCTTTCATTAATTCAAACGTCGATTGTGAAACTTCGGGAGGCAATCCATTTTAAATTATCATTTTAAAAAGGGTCCAAATACTTTGTTTTTAAAATAAAGACATACTATTTGATTGTTCTCAATCAGCTATGTGTTTTGTTTAAGAATCTTTACACTATTACAAAGTATGAGCTATCGAAAAAAAACTTAGAGGTCAATTAAGCGCTTACAGTCATGAGAAATTTCGGTATACTTGAAATGACACAGATTATACATTAACACGTGCGCAGCACGAATCGTTCTTTTCAGAATTCAACATGGCTCCCAAGAAGAAGGGATCAGAGAGTATGGTTTTAAAAAACTTAAATTTGAGTATAATTTTAGAGGAAAAACATGTCATTTTCACACCTAACGATTCGTTATATTGTACTTTACATATTCAACCATACATAATTATCTATTAAAGAACTCAAAACTTATTTGATGAGGAAAATATTGACCATTGGAAGGGGGGGGGGGTAATGGTTTCATTAGTAGATTTAATTTTGTTTTTACATTCAATAATGTTGTATTGCATTGTGAGAAATCATGCGTGTCAGTAAAACAACAATGACTGTACTCAATATTTCTTCTCTGATTTGTACAAATCCGTGAAGTTTACCTTAATTAATTTGCCTGTCTCTGTTTTACTGTTATTATGTTAGCTGCAATAATGTAGCCCTCTCCGATTTTTGTAATCTGACTTGGCTACAACAACATAGCCCTTTAAGGTAAAATAAAACTGTGTGATTACCAGACGTTCTCCTCAGCAGCCATGACAGTTCTACTGTGATGTACTCAGACTTGCGCTTAAAATAGACAACTTTCACATTTACAAGTTATTTCCCTTTGCGGGGTCAATCTGGGGTCACTCGGCATAACCCACTGTTTTCCCTGTATAATATTACTAACTTTATGAGGCAGAGTCTTAAAAATTAAACTGTATATATATGTTTATTATGTTGTCTGTGGCAATACAGGGACGATAGAAAATAGTCCGAAAGTGTATGAAGGTTTAAAAAATTTACAGGTAAGTAATAAAGGATATAGTGAGAAAAATGAGTGTTATACCGACAAAGATAGATAACTCTTAAGAATGTGAAAGTCGTCTATTTAGAATAACTTGATAAAGTAAATGTCAGTGTTGATAAATGAATGTGTTGTATGGTCAGGGCTTTACATTAACTTTTTTCGTACTTGTCCATGCGGACAAGTTACTAAGACATTTACTTGTCCAAAAAAAAATTCAGTAAAGATCCAGATACTGTCAACTTGAAAACTATTAATTAAAATAAAGTCTATTATAAGTGTTTGACTGATTTGTGATGTTATAAAAAAAATACAAGAAACACATAAAGAAAATTTTATCTAGACTTCCTGTCCTGACAACAACATAAATGTTCAGAAGTGAAACTGTCAACATCAAACAGAATCCAAACTTTGTAAGATCCATGCCTTTGCAGTAGTATGCAATACTTAGTATCGCAATTACCTCACAGTTATCTATCTTAATGCCACTCTTTTGCGGCGAAGTCGAGGAAACTCTAAATCTCACAAGATTTTCGGGGCATGAAGTACTTACGCTAGTGACAATTGAATGATTCGAACAATTAGTATGCTGAAAGTACAATGTATTGCAAAGGGTTGAACTTCAAATAGTAAGTTGTTTAATTGGAATGTTTAGAGTTTTATTTTATCAGCTTCCAAAAGTAACTATTATCAGAAAGAAATGGTTGAATTTAATTAGAAGAGTCGGCTTAGTGAAAAAGTATCAATAAAAATGTAACACATTTGAACTAGGTTCTCTTGAAAATTATTAGCTTGGTTCAATGAATGTTCCGCAAGATATTTCACCAGGACTTCTTTCATATCTGCCCTTCAAAAATCCACAATGCTCGATCTCGCGTTGTATGCAACAGCACATTGCCCCCAGCTAATAACCGTTTCCTACCTTCACCACGAAAGAGTTTGAACTTTCATTAAGTTAAGTAATCACGATATCAAGTATTAGTGAACTTCAATCCAAATGTAGAATGAACTACAGCAATTGATATCAGGGTTGAATTTCCGTTTTTATTTACTAAACTACCAATAAACTTTTCACCAGTCATTCTTTTTATGAATTGGAGACTTCATTACATAAAAAAGCATGTGTCCAAATGGACAAGTGCCAAGCAATATTCACTTGTCCGTATTTTTTTTTCCACTAGTACCAAACAAGCGTTAATGTTGAGCCCTGATGGTATCACTAAACATAGATCGATAAATGAAAGCATTCCATGTGATATTTTTTCATAAAGAGCGATGTTTATGCTTAAAGAAAGTTCTATAGAGATCTGCTCCCTAGATCCCGAATTCTTATTGACTGTCCCAAAATAAAATTGATCGAGGTCAGTAATAATGTGGATGAATTCAAGTTGTGATGTTGACATACATGAAAAATAACCAACATATGGATTATTCTGTATAGTTTTGGATCAGTTCATGTCTAACATAACTACATTTTTTGAGTTCAGGTGAGAAATGTTAATGGAATAGCCACTTACTGATAATTTGTGCCAAAATCTGTGTGGGAGTGAATCACTCCTGCACTTGCACTACTACAGAGATCCTATGGAGTTGTAGCCCTCCCCTCCCCCCCCCCCCCCCAAAAAAAAAAGTGAGGGGGCTACATTATTGCAGCTACGTAATATGTGTCAATATACTATTGTCGCCAGGCTAATAAGTGTGTGAATATCAGTCAATACAGAACATGGGGTCTTGAGACAATCTGAGCAGAATGGTATAAAGTAAAATGGGAGAAGGGACCTTCAGAGGTGCTCTGGAAAGGATCCCCCCCCCCACCCCCAATATTCAACCCTGAGGCTTGCTGGACATTTCTTTGCAAATTATATTTATTACACTTATAATTTATCATTATTCGGATTGACTCTGCATCTCGTAAGAATCTCGCAATTAATCCTCAAAGTTGATTACAGTCAGTGTATTGAAAACTCCTTAGGTAAATATAACAGAAGTGCATAAAGAACGTATTACCCTGGTAACTATTACAGATTTTTTTTTGGGGGGGGGGGGGGTCCTGTGGTATATATGATAAGTAAGTGTAATAAATATATATATAATTTGTGAAGAAATGTCTAACAAGCCCCAGGGTATTGGGACCTTAAGTTGGACTATCGAAATTGATTGCAGAAAAGTTTGAGATTGAGTCAAGGCAATGTTTTAGGATTGAAATTGTTTTTCAGTCTTATTTGTAGATATCATTTCAGATTTCTTAAAATAGCAAATCCTAGTTTTAATTGTGAGATCAAAATTTAATTCCTAGTTCATGTTTACAGAAGCCCCAGGAAAGTCAGAGGCCAAGAAGGAGGGTGGAGCCAAGAAAGACTCCAAGGCGAAGCCTCCAAAGGCAGCAGAGAAAGCAGTGAAGGCTAAGAAGGCGGTCTTACGTGGAGTCCACACCAAGAGAAACAAGAAGTTCAGACCCACCGTCCACTTCAGGAGACCCAAGACGCTGTCCCTTCCCAGGGCCCCCAAATACCCAAGAAAGAGTGTCTCCAGAGTGTGCAAGTATGGGAGTAAAGAGTGACTATATTGAATATGCAGAAAAGTAAATAATATGCAGGCTCAATCAAAATGAAGATAAAACTGGTTATATTTTCCTCTGGTAATGTGTAGTCCCAGCCATTTCACTCTGTTGCATGAAATCATATCATTAAAGAGCCTGTTCTTGTATTTAGTACTATAAAACAATACAGCTGTATCTAATGTGTACAAGACATTAATTTTGCAGTCTGTCACTGTTCCAAAAGTTTTTGGGTCAGTACAAGTTTGTGTTTTTGATTTAGTTTTTATGCCTTGAATATCATGAATAAGGCCGGAGCATATAGTGTTTGTCATATCCATCTTTCTGCAGGCCCGTTGCAATGGTTTCAAGGGGGGGGGGTGCAACTTCCCCAAAAAATCTGACAAGCAAAAATAAAACCAAATTAAACTGACCAAAAGTGGAGGGGGGCAACTTCCCAAAATTATCTGACAAAGAAAAGAAAAAAAAAAGCTAATTTACTGTCCAATTCCTGGAATTTGCCAGTACTCGACGTTACAACATCAAAGGGGGGGAGGGGGGGTCAACCAACATCTAAAGGAAGATTTACTATAGCAAAATACTATACTCAGAAAAATGTCAGGGTTCAGCAGTATTTAGGCAGGAGTCACAGTCTATGCGAAAGTCATCGGACCTTTGGACCTAACCGATGTGAAGTGCCTTTGGTCCGATGCGTCATTTTTTACACCGTACCAGAATGTCCGATGTCTCAGCGTCCAGTTTAGAGCTTTAATATTGACGCGGAGTCATTCAAATGTTTGTTATAAGTAAAAAAAATATATCGCACAACTCCAAATACGTAAATGAATTGATTAAAACCGCATGGACCGTCTACAGTAATAAGATTTCCTTGGTTCTGCATTTTCACGTATTTCACTTTTTTACTTTAGGTTTTATGGTCTGACAAAATTTGGTTCGGTCCTGTGTGTTCATTGATTACACAGGACCGAATGTCCTGTGTGGTCCAAAAAACTTTCGCATAGACTGGAGTCAACCAGACTAAGGCCTGCTTTGTATGCAGATGTTTTTATTAGTTCAGCAAAAAAGGAAACATTGTTTTATAATGATTAAATTTAGAATATTATAGTGTACTTTTATACTTTTATTTGAAATGAACAAAGCATTAATGTGAAGTGTTGTATTCCACAAGTTCGTTGAAATGAGCAAGTACATTCGTACTTCCAATCTTGTTCCTTTTTAGCTCTACATTATGCCTAAAGCATCCGACATCTTTCTTTTATGTGTCATACTAAATAGTAAAATCATTTTACTTTATGTCATTAAAGTTTTACAATAAAGTGCTCAATTGACTCGGAATTGTGTAATTACCCAGCAGGAAGTTAGAAAGTTAAAAATACATTCAGAGTTTTCCCATCAGAGTTGTTGACAATCTGCCATTAATAATTTATTCCTATTGTTAAGGAGAAACTTTTATTGGTCCGCTTGGACTGATTAGCCACATATTTTATTAGTTCAAATGAAAATGTATAAGTTGGAGACTACTGAACTAACGTTAATTTCAAACCCCGAGTATTGGATTCCTCTGGTACGTTATTATTTGATGTGTGGTTTTAGGATAGTCCTGAAGTGTATGGTGATACTCCTGATCTTCTATTTTAGGTTGGACAAATACAGCATTGTGAAGTTTCCCCTAACCACTGAATCTGCCATGAAGAAGATTGAAGACAACAACACATTGGTCTTCATTGTAGACAAAAGGGCAAATAAACCCCTTGTCAAACAGGCTGTTAAAAAGTTGTACGACATTGATGTGGCTAAAGTCAATACTCTGGTCAGGTGAGTGTTTGTCTGACATTGATGTAGCTAAAGTCTATCCTCTGGTCAGGTGAGTGTTTGTTTGACATTGATGTGGCTAAAGTCAATACTCTGGTCAGGTGAGTGAGTGTTTGACATTGATGTGGCCAAAGTCAGTACTCTGGTCAGGTGAGTGTTTGTCTAACATTGATGTGGCTAAAGTTAATCCTCTGGTCAGGTGAGTGTTTGTTTGACATTGATGTGGCTAAAGTCAATACTCTGGTCAGGTGAGTGTTTGTCTAACATTGTTGTGGCTAAAGTCAATACTCTGGTCAGGTGAGTGTTTGTCTTACATTGATGTGGTTAATGTCAACACTGTGGTCAGATGAGTGTTTGTCTGACTTTGATGTGGTTAATGTCAACACTGTGGTTAGATGAGTGAGTGTCTAACATTGATCGGGCTAAATTCAACACTTTGGTCACAGGAGTGTTTGTCTGACTTTGATGTGGCTAAGTCAACTCAACACTCTTGTTAGGTGAATGTTTGTCTGACATCATGGCAAACAAGTCAAGAACTTCATTTTTGTGAGCATCATTGAGAGAGACAAGCTTAACCAAAGTGTGCTCCATAATAATATAGTTTAAAAAGTCTTAATTATAATACAAATTTCATCACAATTTATTGATTCATGGGCGAAGAAATCTTCATGTCTCCCCTCACTATCATGCAATAAATGTATAATGTTGACAAGACATTTGAAATGGCTTCCCTTCTGAACATGTCATGGCGACCAACAGGGAGCAGTGACATTTCAAAGATTAATAAAAACCCAGTTGGTAATAATCAGGGATTTATTTGATATAACTAACTGTAATGTATTCTGATTACAGACCTGATGGGGAGAAAAAGGCCTATGTCAGACTGGCTCCAGATTACGATGCTTTAGATGTGGCCAATAAGGTGAGTACTGACAAATTAGGGCCCATGTCAAAATGGCCTCAGATTATGATGCTTTAGATGTGGCCAACAAGGTGAATATTGACAAAGAAGTAGGGCCTATGTCAAAATGGCCCCAGATTATGATGCTTTAGATGTGGCCAACACGATGACTATTGACAAGGAACACACTCTAACTTGCTGAATGTTAAGTTATAAAAAAAACAACTCAGAAATGAACTGAAAACTCATCTATCAAATTGAATCAAATACAGTGTATAAATCTGCATTTGTGATCATTTAAGGGGCTCGAAAGTTATGAATCCTAGCCTGGGATAATGTTTCAGTAAACATTAATGATGATGGAAAGTTATGAATCTTAGCCAGGGATAGCATGGGATAGTGTTTTAGTAAACATTAATGTTAACGGAAAGTTATGAATCTTAGCCAGAGATAGCATGGGATAGTGTTTTAGTAAACATTAATGTTAACAGAAAGTTATGAATCTTAGCCTGGGATAGCATGGGATAGTGTTTATTAAACATTAATGTTAACAGAAAGTTATGAATCTTAGCCTGGGATAGTGTTTCAGTGAATACTAATATTGAAAAGTTGTGAATCTTTGTCTGGGATAGTGTTTCAGTAAACACTAATAATAGGGGATAGTTATGAATCTTGGTCTGGGATAGTGTTTCAGTAAACATTAATAAGTACGGAAGTTTATGAATCTTAGGCTGGGATGGTGTTTCAGTAAACATTAATAATATTGGAAAGATGTATCTTAGTCTGGGATAATGTGTTAGTAAACATTAATAATGGAGCCCTAGAAAAGAATCCAAGTTATAACTTTGTCAAATGCAACTTTGGTTAAAGGTGGGGTGGGGAGAGCTTAAAAATAGTCATTTCCACTCCATAGAGCATTAAAAAACACCACCACTTTATTGACATTAAAAAAAAATGTACCCCATGTTACTGGAATAGTATCCTATTTTTGCATTTAACACACTTTTTAATGATTTTTACATATAAATCAGAATCCTAGACGTATTTAAGTAAGTGAATCTTTTTTTTTTCAGATTGGAATCATCTAAACAGAAGACTTTATATGTATATATGGGGAAATAAAAAAAAAAGCTTAACATGCATTTCTTTTTCTGTAAAGTTTGATAATAAAATTCCTGAGCGATACTTGCAGGACAGGAACAGAAGCATTAAGGTTTTGTAGAAAAGTCAGCATGATCTGTATGCTAAAAGTTCTAGCAACAAAGGCACCCCATACATTGATGAATTGATGAGGATATACATAATTATCATATTTCTGTTTAAATGTTTTTTTTTATATACAAAATTGAGGAGATGAAAACTATTACAGTTGAACTTTGGTATCTCGAAAACTGTTATCTCGAATACTATGGATATGTCGAAGTGATTTGGAAGTCCCAACCACATAATCCTTTAAATGAAATATATGGAGATAACGAACAGTATTCAAGCTCAAAAGTCCATTAATCAATACAAAATAGGAGCAGAGCAAACACGGACCTAAAAACATCAGGGGCCTGTTTTACAAAAGAACTTACGACTAAGACCATAAACTTTATTACATTGTAAAATCTTTCAAAATTAATGATTCTGTTTAAAATTACTAGCATAAAAATATCTTTCTACATCCCTTTTAAAAAGATCAAAATCATTTTCAATTTAATGTAAATTAGAAAGTTATAAGCAGAATTAAATTTTGGTCTTAGTCATAAGTTCTTTTGTAAAACGGGCCCCTGAGTATTTTACCCTTGATATCTCAATCCTTGGATATCTCAGAAGTTTTTTTTTTTTTTGGATCCCATGGCGTTCAAGATAATGAGGTTTGACTGTATTTTCCAAAGTCTGAAGATTGGTTGGCAATTTCTCCACAAAGCTTTACCATTTCCACCCCTCAGGAATTGAAAAAAATATTTATCCGGGGCTATGAGTAGGAATAAACTATTTCATCTCTCTCTCTCTCTCTCTCTCTCTCTCTCTCTCTCTCTTGACTGGAACTATACCTGGTGAATGGGGCCCAGTTTCTATCACTGGTTTAATAAAAAAAAACTATCCCATTCACAATCAGTGGATAAGTATTCTATTAATGTATGTATTTCCTGAAGGGGGAGGAGTGGGTTAGGAACTAATCAGTATTGGATTTAGCAACCAATCGTCAGACTTATTCTTAAAGAGACAATGAATTCTTGTAATATTTGTATCATATATGAAAAGATTTATCAAAAATATTAACATATTCATGTATCATCAAAGGCAATGTCACATGAGTTATTTATAGCATAAAATTTATAAACAACTGAATTGGAAAAACCTGTTCTGATTATCTTTATGAAGATGTACCTAAATCTTAGGTCTACCGACATTGGACTTCTTGGGACTTGAGACCAAGTTAATTTGTAAGATTGTACTGCAATCTTAGTGGGACTTGAGACCAAGTTAACTTGTAAGATTGTACCACAATCTTAGTGGGACTTGAGACCAAGTTAACTTGTAAGATTGTACTGAAATCATAGGTCTACCGACATTGCACTTCTTGGGACTTGAGACCAAGTTAACTTGTAAGATTGTACCGAAATCATAGGTATACCGACATTGAACTTCTTTGGACTTGAGACCAAGTGAACTTGTAAGATTGTACCGAAATCATAGGTCTACTGACATTGCACTTCTTGGGACTTGAGACCAAGTTAACTTGTAAGATTGTACCAAAATCATAGGTATACCGACATTGAACTTCTTTTGACTTGAGACCAAGTGAACTTGTAAGATTGTACCGAAATCTTAAGTCTACCGACATTGGACTTCTTTGGACTTGAGACCAAGTTAACTTGTAAGATTGTACCGAAATCATAGGTATACCGACATTGAACTTCTTTGGACTTGAGACCAAGTGAACTTGTAAGATTGTACCGAAATCATAGGTTTACCGACATTGCACTTCTTGGGACTTGAGACCAAGTTAAGATTGTACCGAAATCATAGGTATAGATAGTTTTCATATGACATATTCACTCGGCACACCTCGGCCGATTCGTACCTCATCGAAGGTGACGGAATCAGCCGAGGTTTGCCGAATGATGACATATTTTCTCTCCGAGTTATTTCCCTTGGCCGCCATCTTGATGGTCAACCTGGTAATTTCTCCTCTTTGTCTTACCAAATATAAGGCAGGCCCGTAGGAAGCAATTTCAGTTTGGGGGGCACAGCCATATATTTTCAGTTGAGGGTGACTAATTCCTTGACAAGCAAAAAAAAAAAAAAAAAAAAGAGAAAGGAAAAAAAAGGTCATCAGAGGTTTTTATTAAGCATACAGTAGCAATGTTTTCTACAGTAATCTATATATCGGCAAAATTATTGGGGGGGGCACGCCCCCCCCCCCCCGTGCCCCCGGTTCCTACGGCCATGTAAGAGGGTGTAGCAGAAATATTTGGTGGAAAACCTTTATAGAATAAAAATTATGAAATTGAGGAGGCTTTAACAAATGTATATTTTTCTGAAAAACAATGCTTCCTACCCCACAATGGCCAGTATAAAAAGTTAAAGTTGGTTGAATAATGAAGGAATATGAGCATGTTGACCTCCCGGCCAACGGGAAATAACTCTTGCTAATTTGGGCCTACTGAAAACTGTCTATACAGACGTTGGACTTCTTTGGACTTGAGACCAAGTTAACTTGTAAGATTGTACCGAAATTATAGGTATACTGACATTGAACTTCTTGGGACTTAAGACCAACTTGTAAGATTGTACCGAAAATCTTAGATCTACCGACATTGGACTTCTTGGGACTTGAGACCAAGTTAACTTGTTCATGTTTTTTGCGCATTCGTATAGTAAGGATAGGAGAAGTTTTTTTGCCTTTTGGAGCGAATAACCTACACGATTATATGTATAACTACAAAATTGATTCGATTTTGGGTATAAAGCACTGTTGTTATCTGTTTTAGTCCGTCCCTGTCAGTCGTTTTGAACATTTACAGCTTCACTTGAACCGCTTAACATAAAGTATATCTTTGGGCAAAGGGGAACATTTCTTGAATTCTTAGTAAGGGCTTAATTTCTGAAAATCCTATTGGGATGTGGGGTGGGGGTGTTAGGTTCTAAATTTTTTTCACAATCAAATTTTATTAATACATTACCCATTACCGTGAATTGACTATACTGCAACAAAAAGTAGGGGCAACTAACCTTTCGATTAACATTAAAGTCATTTGTGACATGACCCGGTGAGTTTTCCTTTGATGTCAACCGTACAATATCTGCGATACAGAACACTCTTGTGTGGGCGTTTCTTATGCAAATGAACAGAAACTGTACAATACGATAGAGAACGGTTTATTTTTAGAGATGACGGAAAGTTGTATCTGCATCTTGGAATATATAGCGTACCTTTTAACGAGTGTATCTTCAGATATCGGACGATAGGGCTTGCCCCCCGAGTCTGATATCTGAAGATGCACGAGTTAAGGTATCCGACCCATATTAGGACTTAATTTTCTAACCTTAAATATCCATCCTATATTAAATACTTTGATATTAATTCAAAGCATTTTAGAGTAGTAAAGGATTTACCAAGAGAAATTTTCAAAAATATAATTACCTAAGCAGTAATTAATTAATGAAGATTGCATTGATGTTTGTGGGGACAAGAAAATTTTTGAAAATAAAACTTTTAATACTAAGAATATCAAAAAATGCTTTGGTGGAAAGATGTATTTAATTATAAGGAATAGAAAAGCGATGAAAACTAAATTTTTACCAGATAGATTTTTCAGAATTGATTTTTATTGATTAAAAGCAAAGGGGGATAACTCTTCAAGGACAGGACAAGGTCAAAAATTAGGACACATTCCGCTCTTACATATTGATACTAAAACATGAAGATTATGTCTACATATACTGAGTATTCAGCCAATATATATCTGTTATACATTCAGATTCACTGAATCTGAGTCTATTATGGGTCGGATACCTTAAAAGGTACTCTATATGTTTTGTATCATTGTTCTCAGGTATTGAATTACCCATGATCTATCAAATTCACGTTAATAGCACTTAATTCAACTACATATTCTCATGCACTGAATTAGCCATGATCTATCAAAATTTCATCATACCATTTTACATGACCAATGAAAAAAGAGCACGTGATTCGGAAAGTATTGCGCTCTGTACTTCTTGAACTTTCTACCTCGTCCATTCATATTCTGAACGCCATGGATGACGGTTGTGATTTTATGCTTTCACAATTCTTATAGACACGGAAACCGAAATTATGAAGGAAAATTCCTTAGATCAGTTAGGAAACCAGATGCAGGTTGAAGATTCTTTGGGAAGTATGACGTTTGATCTACGGAACTAAAAATTGAACCTATTATTATGGATTTCGATATAGGAGATATTTTAGACGTGGAGACTGAGTTGAGTGCGTTAATTTCACCAGTCTCGAGGTCGACACGAAGACGAAAAATGAAAGGTTTGTACAAGTGTCCGATCATGAAATTCAGCGTTTGATAGACTCTCAAAAAATATCCTCGTAACGTTCAAGCTAAGGAGTGGCTTGCGGCACGGGAAAATGTCCACTTTTGACCGAGATGAACAGCGATTCTCTAAATTACTGGATGCAGTAATTTGTGTTGGAATTAAAAACAAGGAATATCCACCTCGCTCCCTGTACTACATTGTGTGTGGTTTGTTACGCTTCAAGTTTATGAGAGACGAAAACATTCATTTATAAAAATGTGCTTGTGTGAATTTCGTTATGAATTTTACAAAAAAATGACGTGCAAAATTTAGAATTTTTTATGTAGACCTAAGGAAAGGTATACCTTCACTATGTTTATAATTATGTGCTTGTATTTTGCTCATAAAGTCAGCTACTTTGTTTATACTTTCTTTTTCTTTATCAATGTAAGGTCAAGGGTCATTGGAATTGTTGCATCATTACCCTGGTGTGTTCTATCTTGATAGAGCATCGTTGTTAGGGCACATGTACAGTTAGTCATGGTGTATAAAAAATAAAAACACAGTGGACATCAAAGGAAAAACACCGCAGCAATGATACAAAAATGAGATGGACATATCATAAGAATCATTCAAA